GAGCTGGGGAGCAGGGGGACAGGGGGCGGCGGGCAGGTGCTGCTCCGGGACCCAGAGCCGTGCCCCTGGGAGGAGGCGATGCCGGGGCCTGTTACCGGAAACCGAGGCCACCCCTCCAGCAGGTGGCGGCGGCCCCATGCCAGCCTCGGTCCCCGCGGAGCCGGGGAGACAGACCCGGCCTGGCCTTGCGGGCGCGGCCCGGCTCACCCCCTTCCCGAGCCGCCGCTTCAGCAGGTATCGCTGGGCTACGTGCGCGTCCACCTCGGCCGTGTACATGCCGGCGGCTGGCCGGGCTGCACAAACCGGCGGCGCTGGAGCTGTTGAACCCCGTTGCCTTGGGAACCGGCGGCGCCTGCGCGGGGCCTGGGGGCGGGGCCTGCAGCAAAGCCCCGCCCCCTCACCACCGCCCGGAACCCGGGTCCCCCGAAGAGGTGCCCTTGTCGGCCTCTGCCCCAAGGAGCCTGCGCAGCCTCCACACCCCCCCCCCCACACCCCCCACTCCCGGATCTAGAAGGTGGGTCCACAGGCTGGTGCTCTATCCACTGAGCCACACCAGTGAGGGCAACCATTGGCTCTTTTTTTTTTTTTTTTCAGTTGATCAGCACAGTTGGGTTCTCTCTTTATTGTCCTATTACATCTGTATTTATACTATTTGATCCCATAAGCATGCCTCTATAATTACATCATGGTATGTTTTGGGTCACGTTCTACTGTTCCTTGATTCTTATCTGACCTTAGCCAAAAATCCTGTCTCTATCTAGTTCTGTTGATTTAAATGTCGTCTAGGTTAATCTCTGTGTTCCATTATAAGGGCCATTCCAAGGTTGCTGCTCTACTGATGAGCTACAAGGAAGTGACTGAAGGAGTTTATCCTCCCAGTAAAGGTTATGTCCTCCCAGCCCTGCTGCTTGCCTTCCCTGGGACTGCCCTGTGTCGGTGGGTCTCCAGGGGTATAGGCTTTGGTGCTTTCCCTGGTGGGCGGACCCCTGGGGATGTGGACCCAACAAGTCCCAAATTTATTGCCAACAGTCTTGGTCCAAGTTCTTCATAAGTAGTACATGGTATTTCTGTAACACTAGAGGGTTTCACTGATTTATTCTCTTCCTTAGTCCTGTTAATCCCTAACCTGGGGAAACAACCTTTCTCGGGGAGGTGGTCCTGGTTAAAACACATAGCGCTAAGAGGGGGAGCAAACCGATGCCATATACGCCAGGTCCCTTGAAACATAAGCTGTGCAGATGTTTCTTCCCTGCAGCGACTGCGTCAAGCAACAAGGGTGGATCGGCTTCCAGCAAATTCCTCCATTTTTATTTTTTAAATGACAGCGCGTGTAAATCAGCGGCCACCTCTCGGACTGGGTTGTTTAAGACTCGGAAGAAGACTTGTTTGTGATTTTGCTAACAGGTCAGTCCGAGGCTTAACCCTATATCGGCTCCCCACATCTCACCCTATATTTTAAGCTACTATAATGAAAGTTTTTAAGCATCAAGGACAAAAAGCTACCATAATGAAAGTAAAACTTAAGCATCAAGAACAAAACTCTGGCCGAACCAGTTTGGCTCAGTGGATAGAGCGTCGGCCTGCGGACTGGAGGGTCCCGGGTTTGATTCCGGTCAAGGGCATGTATCTTGGTTGCGGGCACATCCCCACTGGGGGGCATGCAGGAGGCAGCTGATAGATCTCTCTCATCGATGTTTCTGGCTCTCTATCCCTCTCCCTTCTTCTCTGTAAAAAATCAATAAAATATATATATATATTTTTAAAAAGAATAAAACTCTGGCTATTAAAACAATAACAAGACAATGCCAATGCAAAACCCAAAACATTTTAAAACTTAAACATAACATTTTTAAAACTAGTAAGAATAATAAAACAATGGCAATGCAAAACAGCAGTAAGTGAGTTTCTGCTAAATGAAAGTTTCTTTTGCTGATTTACTCAGAGTCCTTGGACTTGGCTGCCAGAGTAGCTTCCACTTCTTGCTTCTCTGCCATCTGCTGGGCCTCAGCTGTTAACTTCCTCAGCTGACCCCAAGTCGGGGTTCGGTTGTCCTCGTTGGTCTGGCCAGCGGCCGGCGTTGCTGGCGCCCGGCTCCCCGAAGTGTCAGCGCGGTGAACGGCTGGACCAAAGGGTCCATCAGGGCCGCGCTTGATGGTGGTGTCGGCGTCCCGGGAGGAGTGAGCTGTGCCGTCTGGGTCAGCTAGGGGAATCCTGTTCAGGCGCCATATGTTGGGGTCCAGCCCCAGCAGGTCCAGGGGTTCCCAAAGGTGTGGACGGAGTCGGCGATGAAGGAAGGTCGCGGAGGCAGCGTGCAGTTGATCGGCATGGTTGGGTTCTCCCATTGGCTCTTTTGAGTGAGGGCATTACCCACGGGGGGTATTTTTTATGCATCAGATAAACAGTGGGCCGTGTATTTAATGTTCGGCTTAACCTTGGGCAGAAATGGGGAGGCCTCAACCCGGAGACCAGAGTCAGGGGTATGGGCGGTGGCACACAGAGCCCTTCCTGAAACAATCAGATGGGAACCTTCAGCTTCAACCTCCACCAGCTTCCGTGTAACTTAGGAGACCAGACGCTCACGGCAGGACGCACAGCCCCCACCCACAGCCCACACTGCAGACCAGCCCAGCGCCGCCCCGCCCTCCGGGTGTCACTGTCCTGTGTGTGGGCCCACCCCTCCCCTGCTCCTCAGGGTCAAAGTCTGAGCGGATATCACGGCTGTTTCCCTCTGAGTCACAGTCGGAGCCACTGCCCTTCTTGTCTGGGGCACAGCCTCCCCCACCCTCTGGGTGGCCCTGCTGTGCTCCCTCGGCCCCAAAGCTGTCCTCTGCCCTGCCTGCTCCCCGCATGCGCTATGGACTCAGGTGCCCAGGCCACTTGGGCACCTGCCAGGGCCCTTCCCAGGAGGGCTCCTTGGGGCTGTGTGTAGTGGTCTCTGACATCGCCCCCAGACTCAGAAATGAGGACGCCTGATCCCAGCCAGTGTGGCTCAGTGGTTGAGCATCGGCTCAGGAACCAGGAGGTCACGGTTCGATTCCCAGTCAGGGCACATGCCTGGGTTTTGGACTTAATCCCTAGTTGGGGGCCTGCAGGAGGCAGCCGGTCAATGATTCTCTCTCATCACTGATGTTTCTCTCTCTCTCTCCCTCTCTGAAATTAATAAGAAAATATACGTATATATTTTTTTAAAAAGAAAAGAGATGAGGGTGCCTGAGGAGGCTGGGGGGACTTAAAGCTCTGCCCATTGAGTCCTCCATTAGCCACAACATTAAAAGGCCTAGTTTGACCCGGACACTCCGTGACAGTTGTGTGCCGCACAGGAGCCGGGGAGAGGCAGGGGCAGCGTTGCCTGGGAGGCACAGAGTCAGACTGCGAAGGACTAGACGGGCCATGGGAATAGGCCTCCACTTTCTGCAGTCTCAGTTTCTAAATCTGTCCAATGGGTACAGTGGCACCAGGCAGGCCTTGAGGGTGGTGAGGTATCGGGAGGCGCAGGCAGCTGCCCCTGGGGGCAGAGATCCTGGTATGTACATGCCAGGCCCTGGAGAGCCGCTAGAGCAAGCATGTTAAACGCCGGCCGGCATGCGGCCCAGCACAGCGAGTTTGGCAGGCTTGGGTTCGAGGGAACCATCCCAAATGGCCTCAGGAAAGCCCCCCTTGCAGCTTCAAGGTTTTGTTTTTCCCTGATTCTAGATGGTCTTTTGTCAATTTTCTGCAAGTCAGGCACCAATATCATATTAAAAGTCCGTATCATTTAAGCCCGTCGTTCAGATGCTGTTTTAGGCTATGAGCAATGTTTTTTTTTTTAATATATTTTATTGATTTTTTACAGAGAGGAAGGGAGAGAGATAGTTAGAAACATTGATGAGAGAGAAACATCCATCAGCTGCCTCTTGCACGCCCCCTACTGGGGATGTGCCCAAAACCAAGGTACATGCCCTTGACCAAAATCGAACCTGGGACCCTTGAGTCTGCAGACCGGCGCTCTATCCACTGAGCCAAACCGATTAGGGCTGAGCAATGTTTCTTTTATAATATTTTTAAAAATATATATTTTTATTGATTTCAGAGAGGAAGGGAGAGGGAGAGAGAAACTGATGAGAGAGAACCACTGATCGGCCGCCTCCTGCTCGCCCCACACTGGAGATTGAGCTGGCAACCCGGGCCTGTGCCCTCACAGGAATCCACCGTGACCTCCTGGTTCATAGGTCCATGCTCAACCGCTGAGCCATGCCAGCCGGGCCGTCTCTTTAATATTTTAATGTTAAAATAAACAAAGATCCTGCATTGTCTTGGAGTTTATGCCATTTTGTCTTTATTTATAAAACACATTTTTTACAAGAAGGAAAATGCCTCAGTTGTGTTCGTAATTTTAAGAGGCGCTGCCACGGTGTCGCGCAGGTGTGGCCATGGGTGTGAACCGCCACGGCTCTGAAATCGACCTGCGGGCCTCGGGCGGGATCCGCGGGCTGCGGCTCCGTCCGTCCGGTTCGGAAGCCACTCCAGTCGCCTGGGTGTGACCTGTGCGGGGCACACACGGTGTCAGGCATCAACTCTGCGTGAGGGAATTGGGGGGCTGGAGGGGGGGAGAGACGCAGGGCTGTTGCCCCGGCAACGGGGTGATAGTGGGGGCGGGCGGCGAAGTTCTGTCTCCACGGAGACTGTCGGGGCTGAACACTAACAATACTCGAGGTGGGCGCACCCCACGGATGGCCACGGTCCCCAAAGAGCCCACGAGTAAAGGTTGGCCACGGGGCCCCGACTCCCGATTCACCACGTGCCCCTGATTCTGCCTCCCCAACCCTGAGACGCGCCCCACCCGCTAGAGTTTTCGGGCTGCGGAGGAGCAGGGCTGGGCGGGGCGCGGGCTGCGGGCGGGCCCTCACGCGTCCCTCCGCCCCAGGCCGGGGCTCATGGCGCCCAAAAAGAAGCGCGGGAGCCGGCCGGCAGACAGCGCCGCCGCCGCCGAGGCGCAGCTGTCGGAGCGCGCGCAGTACCTGCTGCGGGAGTTCGGGCTGCTCACCCAGCAGCTGGACGCCTACGAGCAGTGCGTGGACCAGGTGCTGCAGGACAACATCCTCCTGGACGGCGAGGCGCTGCGCCTGCGCGACGAGAACCGCTTCTACGCCACCTACGTGAGCGCGCACGCGCAGCGCTGCGCCAACGCCACGGTGCGCCTGGAGGAGCAGAACCGCGTGGACCTGGCGCAGATCCACAGCCAGCGCACCGACCTGGAGGCGCTCTACCACGGGCGCGAGGAGGGCGTGCGCGCGCAGCTGCAGGAGATGGAGGGCGCGCGGCGGCGCAAATGGCCTCGCCAGGTGCAGGAGCTGCAGCCCTACAAG